CGTGCAACATAAAACATAATTTTAATATTATGAAAAATATATTTTGTTTTACTTTTTTGTCTAAAAATTTCTAAATGCTAATTGTTCAAATAATAATAATAATAAATTTAAATTTCAGTTAGACACGTAATTACAAAGCCCTCGAAATCGGCGACATTTTCATTCTTATTAAAAAATATGCGGTCGTCTTGGAGTCAAACAATAAAGAGGCACTATGCAAAAGATTCATCTCAAAATAAGTACATTACTACGCCGATTTTTTATGTAAATGCTGGTACGTAACTTTTTTGAATTAAAAATTCCTGTCATTAATCTAAATTATTATGATAAGAAAATTATAAATATATATATTTTGTATGTTAGGTCCTCATATTGGACATTTATATAGCGCAGTTTTAGCCGATGCCATTGTTCGATACAACAATATGTTAGGTCACCAAACATTTTTTACCACTGGCACCGACGAACACGGTAACAAGATTAAAAACGCTGCAGCTACAGCTGATCTACCGAATCTCGAGTACTGTACAAGAATTTCGCAACAATTCAGGGAAATGTGCGATAGGTTTGAAGTGGATTATTCGCGTTTCATTAGAACCACAGAAAAGCAGCATTGTGATGCAGTGTATCATTTTTGGGTTCTTAGAGCAAATTTATTTTTGAATGTCGAATCTTATATATATTTGTGATATTTTGTAACTCACATTAGAAAACTGAACACTTTCAGAAACGATTAGAAGAAAGAGGACATATCTATCTGGGAAAGTATTCGGGATGGTATTGTGTATCGGACGAAGCATTCCTCTGTAATACAGAATTGGTGGAACAGAGAGATTCGAGCGGAAAAGTAATCAAAGTCTCCGCGGAATCGGGAAATATAGTAGAATGGACTGAGGAAGAAAATTACAAGTTCCGACTTAGTGCATTTCAGAACGATCTCAAGTACTGGCTCAAAGATGGTATAAAAAGATGTTAAATCTTAATTTAATTCATTGACTGCGTTCAGTAGAGAAAACTTATCAGTGAGCGCTTAGTAATTATTTAATATGGATTAGTGACATTCAGATTCATCGAGAAACTAACGACAAGAATCAATTATACTAAGAAATTACTAAACGCAGTCATTATTTCTCTTTCTTTTAAGATTGCAAATTGTAAATTTCAGATCTTTTGTAGAAAACACAGTTAGACCAGCGCTGTATCACAAAACATTATCCCAGTGGATAGACGAAGGTGCATGTTTACAAGACTTAAGCATTACTCGAATCAGAAACAAAGTGCCATGGGCTATACCTTCCCCATGCGATAAGTCTCACTCGATATATGTATGGCTGGATGCCTTAGTAAATTATTTAACGGTCTTAGGATATCCAAATGAATCATATAAAGAACTTTGGCCGCCCACTATTCAAGTATGGATCATAATTCTTGGCTAATAATATTATATGAAAATTGTCAGATTAAAATATATCAAAGAAAATTATTGATATAGATCATTGGGAAAGATATTTTGAAGTTTCACGGTATCTATTGGCCAGCATTCTTAATAGCGGCAGGTCTCGAGCCTCCAAAGACGTTACTGTGTCACGCTCATTGGACTATTGATCATAAAAAAATGTCGAAGTCAAAAGGAAATGTAATTTCGCCATTTGAAGCTGCAAGTGATTATTCAGAAGAAGGATTACGATACTTCATTCTGAGAGAAGCGATACCACAAAACGACGCAAGTAAGATAAATCATGCATTCACTTATTACATATCATTTGCATCAAATTTAAAAAATCTATATTTGTAGATTATAATTCAACCAAAATTGTTAATATATTGAACTCCGAATTGGCGGATACATTGGGCAATCTAGTCAATCGTTGCGTGGGTAAAACAGTCAATCCATCCAAAGAGTTCCCTAATCCTGCAAGATATTGGAACGTGTTGCAGTCTCAGGTTGCCGATGAAACCAGAGAGAGTTTAAAATCCGTGGGCAGAAAAGCACGCAAAAGTTACGAGGAATATAACTTACATCATGTCGTGGATGCGGTCATGAATATGCTTTATTGCGCAAATAAGATGGTGACGTATCATGAACCTTGGCAGCTGAGGAAACAAGTCGACAATGCAGATTCGATCAAGGAACTTAAAGCCGTTATATCGCTTGCTCTAGAAAGTAGTAGAATAGGTGCTTTAATATTATATCCTATTATACCAAGATTGAGCAGTAGTTTGCTCGATTTTCTAAATATTCCGAAGGAGAATCGCACGTGGGCGAATACTGCGCCTGAATTTTTCAACAACAATAGTTTAAAAGAAAGGCATATCGAACATAATAATTTGCTATTGTTTAAGAAAATAAGAAGTCAATAAATATTTACATATCTTATATTATTTGTGTATTGATTACAAAATCGCGCGAAGGAAGAGTGTACTAATTTTTATATATAAAAACTTCAAAACAATTAGACAAAATTTAATAATAAAAATTATAATCTTTAAACATCTTTTTAGTATGGTATATACTCGATCCGTGAGAAGATGGCTCTTCAATTTTTTTAAAAATTATCTTCATCGTTTATTAGACGTAAAACAAGAACACAATGACATGAATAGCGCTAATAGCATCTCCTCGAATGCATCTTATAGCTCATTCGTTTGCTCATTGTTTACAAGTGTGTGCAACAATTTGTTTCGGAATATGCAAAATCTATCAATTGACACTAGCTAATTTGCTTATAGTTGGGGGATAGTGTTAAATTAATGTGGCACTGAAGTAAATTATGAATGATAATAATTAAAATCTAAATATTATACACACACACGCACGCACGCGCGCGCACACGCACGCACGCACACACACACACACACACACACATACACACACACACACACACACACACACATATCGAATTATAACAAGAAAACATTTAAGAATTTGAGTTTGTAGAAGTAGTAGTTGAATGAAATATTAATTATAAATACTTGTTAATTTCAAATCATTTCAAGACAAATTAAATTTCATATCCCATGAATGTATGTAATAAGAATACCTTTTTTTTCAGCGTTTATTGTTTATGCTTCGATGGAACGTAGGAATTGGAAGGGAGAGGAAATCAATAAAAAGTAACGAGTCAGATTTTCTTTTGTCGAAGTCTTAGTCTAATATATTTACAGAGAACGGTCATTCAAATATATCAGTAGTATACATCAACATTGCGCACAAATCCTGCCGGTTGGAGAGTTTCAACCATTCCTATAGTCTATAACTTATGCATTCGTACATTCTCTTTTATTTCCTCTCGTGCCGGATCGCAATGCGCCTTGTATCGTAAATATAGATGTACCAAGGAAGCTCGACGGATCCTCGCGAATGCCAAATTGGCTCGTGACTACTTCCTTCCACTCGGATATGTGATGCAGAATTGAATTGAGATTCGACGGGTGCTCGACGACGACTTTGCGTACATTCGATGAGCACGCCCATTACACGAGATCTCGCATTTTAACGAGTATCTTGCTATGTGTCTCTTTTTGCGCCCGTCAAATAGAAAAATAATTAAATGACTATTTACAGAATGGAAAATGAATTCTATAGTTCACTGCACGGCGTATTGTGCACGCCGGTGCGCTGACCTATTGCTATTAAGTTTTTTCTTTTTATATATATTTATATATATATTTCCCATGACTTTCGATAGACGTTACTATTTAGAAACATATCAGTATTTTTGAGTAACATCCAGCTTTTAATATTGTAGATTGGCTATCGACATTGCTATCGACGTTGCTCCATTAAAGAGATTGCTTGATGAGATTAGTATCCTAAGTGCTACACTTGGATTCTTCTATTAATTGATAAATCCCACTCTACGCTTGTCGTCGCTTAAAAAAAAAGGAAAATGAATGAAGAAACAAAAGAAGAAGACAACACTACGATTTCATGGTGGACTATGTCTTCGGGATATGTTTTGAAGTGATTCCGGTGATTGTCTTAATTACAATAATTGATGTCTTCGCAAAATGCCGTACTTATATGGTCGAACACCACAGCCTTCACTCTTTTGCTATAAAAAAAAAGAGATATTCCTCTATCGTTCGAATGCGCAAAATGCATTACAATGAAAATATCGCACTTCGAAGAAATCCACGCGTTACTAATCACAATCATCATTGGTTAATCAAATCGTGACGATGGCCGTAGAGGTAGAAACACGATGTACGAAGTGTTCATTTGTAAAAGATGTTTACTATCTGAAAAAACCTGGAAAATCTAAAATTTTCACGGGATTTTTTTTTTACTTTTAAAAATCAAGGATTTTCATGAAATTTTATTGGTATCTACTCAGGGAAATTTAATTTTAAATTTAAATTCTGTCTTTCTGAAAACGTTATTTCTTTGATTATTTTTTCTTGCTAATACAAAATGTTGATAATCGATTAGTAATAATAGGCCTATTCCTTAGCTGAATTTTTGCAATTCATCTTTCTTTCACTTCTTTCCTCCTGGAGAGAAAAGGAAGAAAGATGAATTGGTGCAAAAGGTTTAGCTAAGAAGAACAGGCCTAATGTGTTAGATTGTAGGGAAAATTTCCGCGCATATCGATTATATGCATGCGTTGAAGGGGGATTTTCAATATGGTATTCGTATACTGCCTAAACGGTGGACAAAGGTGATAGAAAACGATGGCAAATACTTTGACTAACCTACATTGTACCATTCATCTTACTTTAATAAAGAAAAATTATCAAAAATACGCGGAAACTTTCCCTCTCTAATATATGCCATCATATATATATTTAATTTAATTTAATTTACTTTATTGCAAAGCTCTATGAAAAGACTACATATTAACAGAATCATAAACATAAAATATAGTATAATAAACTGTAGTAGCTTGCAAATGATTAGGCACCAGCAAAACTGCTGTTACAAAGCCTATCAGCAACAAAAACCAGGACTAAGAAAAAAAAAAGGAATTTACGTATATTTTACGTAAATTTTCGTGTGTTGCAAATTTATATAAAATTAAAAAAAAATCAAAGTAGAAAACAATATTCGGTAGAGAAGAGTAACTTACTCTTTTCTGCGGCTCTAATTGTAGACAACGAAAGATATAGTCTCATAGAATCCCTGACTTCTACTAATTTTCAAAATATAGTTTGTTTCTTTGCACAACAATTTATTTCAAAATTGTATTAAACTCTCTAATTTTTTATCAGAAATTATGAATAAAAATATCTAGAAAATATCCAGGAATTCTCAGGAAACATTTTTTTACAAGATTTTAGCAAACACTCTGTTTAATATTTGGCAAACGTCTCGATTTACATCCTGTTCCTGCATTTACTAATATTGCTTTTGTAAAATCTGATGTCGAAGAAATACGAGCAACGCGTATTCTATTGGTCCAAGAGAATTCTCGGGTTAAATTAACGACTAACTAGAACATTGATTGATATTACGTGAGGAGAAATTCAATATAGCAGAGAGTATTATCCACATCCTCAGTTATGCTTATTTTACGCGATTGTATATAGCCAGAGCACGACATCGTTGCAACTGCAGCTGCAGTTTTCCTTTGAGCAGGCAGGCGGTTTGGCGTTCATTCCTTTGCGGATGCAAATACTAAACTTTAGTACGCGAGAGTAAACTGTGCTTGTTGGTACAGGCGATGCTGATTGTATGTACATACATTGCAAGTTCGTACGAAACAATAACAATAAGCGATATCGTTCTATTAGAAATCGTGCAATCTGCCATCGATGTGTTTTCACGACGGTTTTCACTGCGAATTCGAAACCAATTTTAAAACAGCAAACAAAGAATGTAAATCTAAATGCTAAAATAAAATTATTTCGTATGTTCGCGGAAGATCGCGGAAGTTTAATATGCCACTATGAAGAACGAATTCCTCTTGCACGAAGCGTATTTTAATTCGCGCGTTAATGTCGTTATTCTCTGTCGGGATGATGTCGGTGTCTCCAGATTCGCAAATTTTTCAACGAGATCGACGAGTAATGAAGCACGATCGCGACGACTTCAAAGGCGAGCAGCGAGAGCGAGATCCAGGAAAGAAATTGTTTAAAGTGACCGAGAAAGTCGAAAGACAAGCTCGCTTTATATGGCACTGACGATGGTGTCGCGATGTCGTTGAGCCATGACGCCGACCTGGCAGCTGTCTGCGCTCGATCTCGGACTGATGTTACACTCGACCATGGAACCGTTCCGCTTCTGCACCACCACTGAACGGAATTCGCCGCACTCGCTGATCGATGGCTGATTGCCTCGCGCGCGTGCCCCCTTCGTGAGGATCCTTTTGAACGCCTCCCGGAATTCAGTGTTGAAAATGCTGTAGATTATCGGGTTGAAGGCCGAGTTACTGTAACCGAGCCACGTGAGAACCTGTTTGGAAAGAAAATACGACTTTGACACACTTTTATACAACGAAAATCGGAAAAATTGTTTTATGCGTGAGAAAAAAATTCTCACCTTTCTTTAGAGAGAAGAATTTTATAATAGCAATTTCCATATTTTCGAGGTTCATCCATTCAGAATGAAAGACTTACTATGTTGCTTGGACCCGATCTACAATGGGTATGGTAAGCACTTAGCCTTCTGTTCTAAGTTCTGAACTGTGACTTTTTTTCAGTAAAATGTTTTCGGTGTTGTCTTAAGCCGTAATCTCTTTAAGCTTTAAGCGAGTTGATCAGATCAGTAAAGTTTAGAGCTTAGAGCAGCTCGAAGCTTAAAGGAAAAGACTAAAGGTCTACTATATCTATTGTAGATCGGAATTTAACACTAAAAATATCAATATTTCTTATTCATTAAAAAGATTAAGTGATAAAATTATTATAAAAATAAAAAAGTGTGTGTGAAAATCCAAACATTAATCAGTATAAAGGACATAATTATTGAAAAGTAAAATTCTATTTTTAACACAAGAAATATTAATTAAATATAGAAATAATCAATAATGATCGTCTGGTATTTTCAGTTAATCTTTTCTTTAAGAGAAAAAAAGAATTGGTTCCGAAAAGTTTTAAAAAAGTTTAAATTGAAACGAACAACTTTGGATGCAGTTTGCGCAAAAAGTCGCACCTGGAACGCTCGGTGAGATATGCAGGTCTTGCAGTAGGCTGCGACAATGTTGACGCAGAAGAAGGGCACCCAGCATACCAGGAATACGCCCATGATTACACCAACGGTGATCGCGGCCTTGTGGTCGGACACATGATAAGGGCTGGTTGGCTTCGTCTTCGTCTGCGGCTTCGGTGGCTTGCAACGACTGCTCTTCGAGCGAAAACTCTTGGCCATGGAGGTGTCCGGCAGCTTCGTCACTGCTCGGATACTTTTCACGTGTTTCTGCGCGTAGCAATAGAGCCTAGAAAAGGAAGCATTCCTTAACGCATGGAATGAAATTCTTTTCACACATTTTTCAGTCATTAGTATTATTATTATACACGGAAAGAATTTTGAAAAGCTGAAATAAAAGTTTAAAAGTTTAACGATAAGTAAGATAAAATCAAACTCTCAAGTTTTACAAATTAAAGAAAGGTAAGAAAGAGCGGGAGAGGGGCGTTAGCGCGCGCGATGTTTAGTGCGTAAAGTTACTTATTAAAAAAAAAAAAACATTTTAACTATTCACCTTATTCGCAAAGTATAATAATCTGTATTCTGTATGCGTTTTGATTTACTTTCAAGTTATTATTCGGAGAAAGAAAAATATAAAATATAATTTAAAAATCAACAGAGAGAATAGTTTATTGGAGTATATAATAATTTAGCTGAATACAGATTTAGATAGATACAGATCTGAAAATAATTTCGTTGGACCAAAAATAATTATGTAGGAAACTCAAGCATGATAACTGACGCTGTTAAAAGTTTTGACACTTTAACAACCAGTTTAAACGTATATAATTATTTTCATAGTCCAACAAAATTTATTTTCAGATCTGTATCTATCTAAATCTGTATTCAGCTAAATTATTATATACTCCAATAAACTATTCTTTCCGTGTAGAGAACGCATCCAATTTTGACGGTGATATACAATTGCATTTTTGTGTGAAGAAACGAAATCAAGTGGATAAGAGATGATTCAACGCCTATTTGGAAATTTATCATTCGGCATCCGACGTATTGTTCCGCTAAACGAATTGGCGGTACGTATTCGGTATTGTTGCGTGTATGATTTATCTCTTATATGGATTTTTAAACGAAGATGCGAGCTTTTTTTCGAACGCGCATTGTTTTTATCTTCAAACTCATTCGGGATTGCGGATTACCGGAGCTAGTCATGTTTTATAAAACGTCATACGAGCTACGTCACTCATAGAGATTATGGCAAACGATTATAGTAAGAGTGCGAACTAAAAAGTTAAATTAAATTTGCGTCTGAATAGTGATGGGCGGCAGTGGGCGATCTTACCTGCAATAAATACCCAGCATTACAATGCAGGGCACGTAGAAAGATATGCAAGAGGACACCACCGCATAGGTAGGTGTAATGTCTAGGGCACACGTAGGGTGCTCCTGTAAAGGTAAAAGATGAATAATTAACGACAGAAATGGCAAAGATTGCGCAAATTGCAATGTTTCAGATGCGAACGGTGTGACGGGAGAAATTTTATTTTTGGGATGAAGTGTTAGCTTCGTGTGAAAACAACTGATTTCTATTTATGTCGAGAAATTGTTTGTCGCTCTGTATGAGAGCGACAAACTCGTAACCAATAAGTCATGAGTTCAAATTGCGTATCTCGTATGTACAGACAATTTCAAAATCCGTACTTAGAGAGAGCTAGCTACAGAAAAACTCTTTATATAGATGAAAACATCACACTTTCCCATCCGACGATGCAAAAAAAAAACTACTCTCACAATTAAGTCTAACTTGTGGTTAAGCTTAACCACAAATTAACCAGATAACGAAAAATTGGACTTAATTGTGAGAGTAGTTTTTTGCATCATTGGATGAAAAACCAAAATAAAAAATTGGGTCTTACTGATAAAGAACTGCATGAGCAATCATTAACCAAAACTGAATGTATTAGGAGCTAACACTATTAGATGTAGATTTAAACCTGACTTGCCGAGACATTTAAAAATAAATTTATTTAATACAACTGAATAAGTCTATCATAATCAGTGTAATTATAACTCTCTTAAGGCAGCCTTAGTGCGTATCATCTCTAATGCTGCGTATCAAAATTTGAATGAATTACAATTTCATCAATTTTTCTGATTGTAAGAGACCTATCCAGTTGAATCAAACAAATTTATTTTTAATCCCTCTGGGTATTCGAAAGCAATAACATTTACGTATTCTTTTTTATAACACTCGATATGACTTTAATTTCAAATGATTGATATCACCGTAGAGAATACTTGGAATTTTTCATCCGTGCTGCATTCCACTGGTGTTTGCAACGCTTTTGGAATCATTTTATTCTTGCCGTTTGTTAAACTCGAATGTTAAACAAGGACAAATATTCACGAGCGTTGTGAACGCCATCTCGTAGAACGCATCTCGGGTAATACTTATAATTGCAAACTTTTTTTTAAATAATATGTACACTTCAAATATTGAAATAAACGGAATTTGTATTTTATAAATTTCTCATAGAAAGGATTACTTACTAATTAAAACCTTTAATTAAAAAACAATTTGCTCAAGAGCTGAAGTTCGTTCAGTAGAAAATCGTTCCATTATGTATTTAAACAGACCGCATCGATATATGTATTGAACTGCTGATATTAATAAATCGACGCAATTAAACTTCGCAAATACCTTACCTCCACTATATCTTCATACATGGGTTGATCATCATTCTTATGAAGATCTAGACTGATCGGTACGAAGGATATGAGTCCTGCTAGAAGCCATACAACGATGATGCCACCAATGGCAACTCTTCTGGTCACCCAACGACCGTACCTAAAACAACGTTTCACAATCTCTATTTTAAAACTCTAAATTCTCTAATTCTCTAACTCTAATTTCCATCTTTTTGAATCTTGATGAAAATAAAGATCAGAGTGTAAGTTAAATGTACGGGGAAAGAAGAGAGTAACAGAAGCGTACACAAAACTTCTAGCAAGCGTAAATTAGAACAGCGCGTAAAAAAGTTTGCCTTTTAAAATATTTTTTTGTATGCTGTTCCAATTTACGTTTTTATAGAAGTTTCGTTGACGTTTCTGTTATTCTCTCTTTATATATCTCGCATGCTCAGATTTTTATTTTTATAAGGGAAAATTTATACACATAATTTCTTAGGATTAAAATATTTTCAAGTATAATTTTGACATTATTTTCTAACAATTTTTATTAACTATTTGGAACTTTCCGCAAAATTATATTATAGAAATAATTTTATCCTGTAAAACTGTCTTTTAACCACACTGAAAAACAGTTCTTAATTTACAAATTATTCGATAATTCTTCTTTGA